TCTTTGTGTGGGAAAGAAAATAATCGATCCATACTCCAGAATAGGACGGATGTACGACTTATAAGCCTTGATGAGGATACATGGATCTTTGGTGTATAGAGTGCGAAAGAGTTGTAATAGCCTGACTTCAGCTTTATTGGCTATAGCGGCGCAATGTGACTCGAAATTCAGCTTGTTATCAATGAGAAATCCCAAGTCCCTAACCGCTTCAACCTCATTGAGTTCGCAACCACCTATGTAGTAGGCGCTCCTCTCCTGGGGCCTGCCTAGATGCAAAACCAAAGTTTTGTTGGAAGCCAATGGTAGCTCCCACACATCGGACCACTTGACAACTGCCTCAATGGCTTCTTGGAGCGTCTCAGCATCCTCTCGAGATCCTAATTCCTGGTAAATCTTGACATCATCTGCGAATGCTTTGCATTTGACATTCAAATCCTCCACCACCCTAGGTAAGTCGTATGTATAGATACAAAACAACACCGGTGAAAGAACCCCTCCTTGCGGGACACCACTTGGGGCAGTCTTAACACTAGAAAAGGCTTTGCCAATTCGAACTTGAAAGCAGCGATGACTCAAGAAGGCCTTGATCCATACTAAAATTCTTGGGTGAATGCCGATGTGTTTGAGCTTAGCGAAGAGCTTGGAATGGTTCACTTTGTCAAATGCTTTACAAAAGTCAAAGTAAACCACATCAACGTTTTTCTTCTTTTCCAATGAGAGTTGTCCAATCATTTAAAGATTCCAGCAACTGAGTAACCGTCGATCTCGCTTTCCTAAAGCCATGCTGGCAGTCGGGTAAGATCCGCTGACGTTCAAGGTGTTCTACGACGACCCTCTTGACTACTCTTTCGAAAGCTCTACAGAAAACCGAAGTGATGCTGACCGGTCTGTAATTGTTTGCGTCCGAATATGGAGGTTTCTTGGGGATGGGAACCACATAAGAGAGCCTCCATCTCCTAGGAACCTCAGCTCGAACAAAACTCAAGTTAAATATGAATCGCAAGGGCCCAACTATCGAGGGGAGTATCTCTTTGATAAACCGAAACGGAACGCCGTCCGGCGTGACAGAGGACTTTGATTTCCATTTAGAAAGAATCTCAAAAATTTCACTTTCGCTAAACCACAGTGAGTCTTCCATTTGAGCGAAGACTCCTGGTAACTCAGCAATGACACTATCATGATCTCTATTTGCAACGAAAACCTTTTCAAAATGTTGGGCAAAAAGCTCGGCCTTATCAAAGTCAGAAAGAACTGGAGAACCATCTGGTTTCAGCAAAACAGGAAGTCTTTCTTTTGACTTCGTCTTCCAGGAAATGTACTTGAACAAAGCAACGCTGCTCCCATTTTCAACAGTTTTCTTCTCAATTAAGCAACTATACTTATACATTTTAGTTTCAAACTTTTTTGCTATTACTTTGAAAAAATCCCAATCACTGGGAGAGTTGGTTACAACAGCTTTTTTGTATGCCCTCACTTTCTTATCGAAAAGCGAATGGAGGAAAGTAGGGATCTGGGCTTTGCGTAACTGAACCTTCCGCAATGGCACATACATGTGTATACATTGCTGAAGTACGAAAATAAGCATTTCGTACATATCATCAACAGAAAGCCCAATGAAGGAACCATACCAATCAATCGAGTCCAGAAAAGAAGAGATTCTTACAAAATCAGCCTTTTTGAAATCACGAACATGTACGACACTGTTTAACTTCTCTTGCAGATTGAGAGTGAACCCAATGCTCGCGTGATCACTTGTCCCTAGCGGTGGTCCCACTTGAACGCTTCTTATCATGTTACTATCATTGCAGAATAAGAGATCCAAAACATTGGCACCCCTCGTCCCAGTTTTCACATACTGGTGAAAACCGTGGTTTCTAACCATATCCAGAAATTTCTGAGCGACCCCGGCACTCTGAGCTCGAGTATCTGACCAATCAATATCGGGGAAGTTAAAATCTCCTGTGAGAAGGCAAACATGAGCACCTACGCAAAGATCACTTATACATTTGACCATTTTTTCGCACTTTTCACTAGGGCAGCCAGGGGATCTATAGCAGAGCAGTATTCTCAAATTCCTCCCATTTATGTAAGTGTCCACTGCAACTAGCTCATACCCATTAGCTATAGTTTCCCCAAAAACAAATACAGGGCAAAGCATACGATTGATCAATAGTGCAACGCCTCCTCCCTTCTTACGCTTCCGATCAATTCTGAATACCTCATAGCTAGCAGCTAGTACACCAAGCAAAGAAGAAATCTCAGTATTGGAATTTAACCATGTCTCAGATAGAGCAATAACGCCATACTCCGATTTCGCAAGCAAAAAGTTCAGAGATTGCACATTCCTAACTATGGAACGAATATTAGAAGATAGACATTTTATAGCTTTCTTAGGGCCCCATGATTCTTTACTACAATTTTGATCATGATGAATAGAGGATAGATTCCGAAGATACTTCGCTAGTTTTCCGAATCATAAATGTCTGTGACTTGTATTTGCGTTTGATAACCAGTGTTTCGTCAATTTCCATCTCGCACCCGAACCTTCCGATGATCGGCGGGTTCCTCCTGAAGTGCCCCACACATTCGCGCGGAAGAACCGCTCCCACTGAATTGAACTGGTGTGGCCGACATTGAGCTCGTATTCCTTGTCCTTCACCTTGCCCATGTCGCGCAGCCAGAAATAGGGCAGTGCGAACACCGTGGACTCAGGAAAGTTACAGTTCTCGAAAAAGGAATCCTTTCGGGCATGAACGTAGACCCTGGTCTCGTTCGATGGTCCAGTGCGGCACGCTCGGCCCAAATAACCCCAAATGACGAAGTTTCAGCAGATTTGGTGAAAACAGCTGTGGCGCCAAATTGGCGCCAAACGGCGCCAAATGGCGCCAGCGCTAAAAACGGGTGTCGTTTTCGTAATCAGGACCCCAAATAACCCCAAATGACGAAGTTTCAGCAGATTTGGTGAAAACAGCCGTGGCGCCAAATTGGCGCCAAACGGCGCCAAATGGCGCCAAATGACACCAGCATCAAAAATGAATGTCATATTCGTAATCAGGGCATCGAATTACCCCAATAGACAAAGTTTCGACGAAAAATGAAACTTTGAGATTTTGGGGCAGTAATCGTGGGGCAATAGGGGAAGGCTGAAAACGGTGAAAAACCAAAGTTTCAACTGGGGAAGTAATGCATATCATTCGATAGCATTTTTCACGGGGAAGCTAACGGGGCACATTTCAGGTCTGCGAGTTCATCTGGAAATGCAAAAAATCTGAACATTCCACAAGGGCATGACGAGGAGGCATGTTTGGGGCCACACCACGGAAGGAACGCTCACTTGCGACCGAGTTTTCCACATAATTCCTACAGACAAGTGACCATAGTCTACGACAGTGAAGGAAATTCTTCGCTTCCTTTACAGCTTTCTACAAAACATTCCTCTAAAAATGGGACTTGTCACGTAATAGGGGGCAAAGGCATGACAAGGGGTGATGTTTGGGGTCACACCACGGAAGAAACGCTCACCTGCGACCAAGTTTTCCATATAATCCTTACAGACAAGTGACCGTAGTCTACGATAGTGAAGGAAATTGTTCAACACGTAGAGCCAGTAAGCGCTTGAAAACGAAATGAAGATCTAAGAATTCGGAAAATAACATTCATCTAATCTCACAATGTAGTGGATGAGATTGAGTACGTGGCGCATTCTGGGGTAAGTTTTGAGGCCCTTCTTTGTGTGTAGCGGTTAGCCCGCATAAGCGGGATTATATACACATCACATGCGAGCAACTACTTTTTGAGATGAAATCGAGTGCATGGCGCATTCCGAAATCAAGCTTTCTGAAAATATTTTAGCACCATCTTGTAGCGCTTGAAGAGCTGAGTTCAACGGTGTTTTCCGTTTCTGGAATACTTCACTCTGACCCGACTTATAACGAATTCACGAAATTAACGAGGATTCGCGTTATTCGCGTGAATTTTCGATTTCAAACGGCGAGTACTGTATGTATCCGAAGTTCGAGCGTCTGTGAAAATGAAAAATGAATGAAAATTCATAACTTCACTCCCTTTGGACCCAGAGC